CTGTTTAAAACGAGAAACAACAAAGAGACCCGGTCATTACCGAATCGCTTGGTCATAATCCGGTCATGACCTGGTCGTGATGCGATCATGACCTGGGGGTGGTGATCCGATCATGATCCTATCATGAGCGAGTCGTGATCGCAATCACGACATCACTCCATAATATACCCATGTGTTACATATACGCATATGTATTAGGCTATTCGGTCAATACAGAGCGCGTACCGGGTGGGCAGACCACGACTGCGGCACAACCGCATTCGTTCGTGACCAGTTTTTCACCACCACGGCCCCATGCGGCAGTGCTTCGGGGATATGGGTGGGTTAGGTCGGGTCGGTGTTTGTGTGCCAGTGTATGTGTCGTGGTTCGTGCGCAGATCATCGGCAAAAACATACACCAGAAATTACCTCGTCTCTCTCGTGGACTAGCCCTTCTGTACCAATAGAAAAGAGAATCTGCTGCGGTGACGGCGACTTTCCCCGTATGCTTGTGCTTCAACCACGCGCGACCAAACTATTCATTTGATGGATAGATTCCAAATGGTAACCCCCGGAAAGGTGAAGGGCGCAGTCTGTGCCACCCCTGGTATTCGCAGTACATTGCATCGGCTATTGACAGGTGTTCGCATCGAAGTCGTCACCGGCACACCCGCACAGCGAGAACACAAAGCTGACGCATGACATTTTTCCTGCATGATTTCCCTTCTGCCGCTGATGAGTTGGTGCATCGTTCGGGTCTTGACACTGATCGCAGGAAGCCCAGCGAGGTGCTTGAACCGCACAGACGTCGGGCGGTGATGGTTTGGATTGTGTCGGTGGTCGCCATCATCGCATGTGAGCGCATCGACACAAATTGACAGTCTGTGTATGGTCAAAACGTCAAAACCGCAAACCGTGCAACCATCGATGGAATTATGCCAAGCTGGTAGAGGCTGATAGACAGTCGATCGAGAGCGAGCATTACAGTAGTACGTCGAGATTAATAGCCCTCTCGATGGAGGATTTCTTAGAATAGCCTACACGGTAGGCTATGTAACAATATGGCCAGTGTACCGTCGAAACACGTTTCATGGAGATCTCCGGTAGATATGGAGGAGCGTGTCCGCCGTTTGTAAGGAGGGAGAAATAACGTGCAACACCGAGACGGAACACGGCAGTGTGTGCGGTTCGAGAAACCCGACGTCAGGTCTTTCGCAGTTAACAGCAGGTATCATCACACTGTTTGTCTGCGTGGACAGGGAGGATTTTGGGGGATATGCAGATGCTACTCTCAGCACAGACCAAGAGCTTGCAACCCCCAAATGTACGTCCACGGCGTAGTCCAGTGAACGTACAGTAGTATCAAGAGAGAATGACGCAAGAAAACGAGGGGGAAACGAAAAAACATCATTTGTAGGATCAAGTGAAGAATGAAGGAAAGGTTAGGAAATAATCTACTGCTGTAGCGAAGGAAACGTGGACATGTACGTATGTGGTGCTTCGGACATGCGTATTGTAGAAATCAAGGGGTGTCCATGATATTGTCCGACAGCTATAGTAGAGGGCACGCATGTTGTTGCGTGGAGTTAGCGGCGGTATAGGGAAGCAGCTAACTATCATGTTTCACCTGGAATTCGATGGCTGCGCTCGTCACAATTCGGCGTTCTTCCTTGGAATTTCAGCCGTGATTTTCAGCGACACGCGCGCAGACGAGCGTATGTCTCCGGTACAGCAGTGGGAGGCTATGGGTATTGCGCAGTCGCTGTTGTGGCTACACCGCAGACCTCGATTTTTTTGTATGCTGGTTTTCATAGAGCACTTGGAAAAGGCGCAGAAAAAGTCTTGCACATGATTTTAGTGAAACGGCGTGTATTACATACAGTACGACATTCCTACAGAAGCATTGCTTTCATGTTACCTGAATGCCGCTCTAAAACAGCGTTGTTGATTGCACAAAAACCATCCGTTCACGTCGTGTGTTGCAGGCACAGACGCTAAACATCAATATAGCTGACGGACATCCAGTCGCCCCCCTGACATACATATAGGCATGGGCAAAAAAACGAGCCCGCGCCTTGCTCTCACTCCTTTCGCTCAGACGAAAACAGGTCAAGCGTATGTGTGATAGGTGCACGAGACTATATGCAGGGAAGACACAGGTCGCATACTAGACACTCGCGCGCGGCACGCGTGTGTGTGTACACGCCGTTTCTCTCCTCGTTTCACAGTCAGTCATATACTGTAAGTAGACGATAGCAGGTGCTGTTGAATATCACACCCTCCTGTCTCTCTCTCGATCTGCCGGGTATCCTCTTTCCCCCAGCAATGTATTTCTCTGCTTCACGATACCTTTTCAGACCAGCAGCAGAACCTCGTGGATCTAATCCTCTCTTAGCACAGACTGTCGGGTTCACTCCTTCCATTTGGTCGTCCTATACTCACTTCCTTCTACGCACTAAAATAGGCATTTTCAAATCTACACACACTTTCGCTCGTCGTCATCGTGTTAGGTGTGATGGAATTCCGATCTCTATCGGTCCACCCGACTACTATGAAAGGTGAGGGTCACGACGGCCACCAGGGTGTTAAACTTGGAACAGAGTGTGCCGGTGATCGATTCGTGTTGCCGTGAATGCGATAATCAGCATTTGTGAAGGACGCCGACCGTGTGCTATTGGAGATGTATTATACATATGAGTAGAGTCAGGTCGAGCAACGATAGAGTAAAAGACGGGTTGCAAGCCAGGCTTGGACACCTCATCAAATGAATGCCTGCAGGTGAACACTTTCGGCGAGATAAATACTGGATACCAATTGAGAGGCAAGTCATGATTGTCGAGTACATCAAACGTCACCAGAAAATACCTCCTTTTTAGGGCGAGGCAATTTCATATTTTCTCTATAGCACACAATCGACGACATAGATTTTATTGCCGGCTTCTTGACTGAGCACCTGTTCATATCGCCAAGTTCTTGAATACTGGATCTTGGAGATTCGAATGGAACTACTAATCCAAGTACTTGAATGCTGGCGTGTTCTGCAAACATTATGTCTTTCAGTAGAGACTTACGGCGAAGAGACGGAAGAGTGAATGAACACAAAAAGAGACAAGCCGGTTTGATGGTAAACCGATGTGGGTGGTACAGGATCGTCGTATGGAGTCGGGAACTCGTCCGGATTCGCCGAGCGGTCATTGTCGCATTCATTACCGTAGCTCGTCGTCTACGCTGCGCCTCATTCCGCCTGCCCATTCCGTCTGTCAATTCGAATCCTGGAGAATCGCCGTTGAGAAGGTTGGCATCCCACTCATGTGGAATCTTGTACCACAAGAAAAAACGAATCAGAGGAATACGTCTTCGCAAATAGGTCGATCGGTTTGATAGTAAACCTGTGGGCGGCATCGTCGTTGACATCGGGTTACCGTCACATTCTTGGTTGCTTATCGTCTACGCTGAAACTCATTCCGTCTGTCGATTTCACTCTCTGGTAATCGATGGTGTGAGTGAGGCATGCCGAGAGGTACAAGTGTGAGAAAATAATCAGAGCAGGCAAGGCGACAGCCGTCGTTTGTTGCGGTGTTGCAACCTGGCACCCGTTCACGACGAGCGGGTAGAACGCAAGGCGACAGAAAGTAGTGGCTTGCGCTGGGAATACAATCGTTTCGCGAGGACCTGTATGATGCGGCGAAATAGAGTGGTTCGGTTGCAGACGTTTGATGTGGATTTGGCAGCAGACGACGGCATCAAATCCTCAACAATTGATGGCATCCAATTAGCAACATATTTGTAGTCACGGGTGGAGGGTGCATATCTGGAAGTGAGTGTGTGGATCGTGTGTGTGATGTGAGATCTGAAGAGGGCAAGCAGGTGTACGGAAGGAAGAAAATCCCAAACATGACCTGATTTGCGACCCTGCGGATATGTACCACTGTTCTCTCGCCAATACGCACGACCGAAGCTGGCGCTTTATGCTGTACGGGTATTGGTCGCAGCACGTGTGTGAAACCCGCCGAAAGGCCATATTGGATGAGTTCCAATTTGAAACGAACAACAGCCAAAATCATACCATAATCTAATTAGGAGTATACGTTTGCATCGTGTGGCTTCTACTACCAATTACCGTGGTTGTAGAAGTATTTCTATCGGAGTAGAACAAAACATTATGGTATTTCAAATATGTATATGCATTGTCCGTGACCATCTCCCTCTGTCTCATTTCATGCTGTCTCGATCTCGATCGATGAACCTGCCGGCCTCTCCTCCACCAATCCCACTACTCCTGTTTCCCATCGTCTTGATTCGCTAAGCTCACCGCTGCAGCATTTATCCCAACGGTGATGTGTGCTGGCATACGATAGGCTGATCTATTTGTAACTGTCGCTCCTCGGATTTGTCCCGATTCTCGCGGTAGTGTCAGACAAATAAGGTATTTTCGCGTACGTCCCCGTTCCGATGTACAGGTCAGGTAATATCAACACATTATTATTTGACCTATGGATCGCCGACAGTGGCGGTCGCGCGAAGCGCTACACCCAATTCCCTGCCACATGCATGACCTGGTAAGACTATGACGTCCGCCAGTTCTACTCCATGACAATACTAAGCGTAGATGTAAAGTCAGACAATAATAAACGAAAGAAGCTAAGATGTTATCAGTCTACTGTGTGCATGTTTTCCGTGTGCCGTGGAATCGCCGAATTTGGCAAAATCCTTTTAAGATTCTTCCTCGATACGTGACATTCTTGCTTCCCCAGAAGAAAGTCAACAGAGCAAGAATTTCGCACGCGAATCCCATCCCAGGTAAAGAAGTGATTATTGGGTATGTAAAGTTATTGTTCCCGACACAATATATGACACTGCGCCACTATACCATACTACTTCTGTAGGACAACTTCTTGATGGAATCACATCACACCACCCCACCTTGGAATGGGTTCGTTTGTGTCTGTGGCTTCGCAGATTCCGGTTGGCTGCTCTACAAAGCAACGGAGAAGGCGAAGTCACCCGACACGTCTTTTGTGATGACGGTGAGGCGGGTGTCCCTATCTTTCAACCTAGACTGGCTTCCATGTCAGAAGCAATAATCTCCCTGATGCCGAAGCAATACAGAAAAGCACTGCTACCGCTGTGCCACACAATGTTGTCATATCTTGTTGCCAGTAAATAGCCAAGAGCTTCTCGCGAAAGATGGATTGTGGGAATCGATTTTGAGTGGTTCCAAAGACGAAGGGAAAGCACTGGGTGTGGGTGATTCCTGCCGCTCAAGTGTTCTTTGGTTGGAGGGGAAAATGGAAATACATAGTTGCTTGGTCATTTTGAGGTACCTTCTTGGAGATAAATGACAATATATCACGGTGGACTAGATTACCGTTGCGTCGTGAGATCGAACTTCACGTCGCCAACTCCTAAGGGCTTGAGCACGGTGTCCGACGCTCGCCCGCTGACGCGCAAACGTCACGCGACGCAATGCGCGACTGACCCAATAGTGTCTTGTTTGGTTTATTCCCTGCACCCCCGTTGTTTTTTCAGAGCGAGGTATACAAATACCCCGACCTCTGGGTTTGCCTGTACAATAACTACGGCTGCGACGAGTGGGAACTCGAGGAAGGGTGTGTGGATTCTGCGTGGATGACCGAGGGGGGAGTACCGGACGCGGTGTTCTACCCCAGAGTCAAACTGGACCAGCTACAAGAAACAACGACCGAGGAACTACAAATCGAAGCTATCCCTGAAAACACCGACTTTGACAGCGAGGGAAACTACGTGGAGGATGTGAGCCTCGAAATCTCCCTTCCTTCTTCAATCGTATTGATTTCTTGCGGCTGTTCGGGGTACGTTTTCACATGAAGACTTGTGGAGTTACCTTGGAATTTTCGGTGTTGTCCATGCGCCGTTCACATGAAATGTTCATGAAATAAGGGTACAGGCGGGTGATATGCTTCATGCCATGTCAAAGATGCACGCCGCACAGGTCCCACGACCGATATATTCACAGCAGAAGAGTATCAGTGTCGAAAACGTCTCGTCAACACCTTTCGGAACGATGTTAGCGCCCTCCTTGTTGCCGCAGAGCAATCGAGTTTGAAACCAATCGGCCGCCCGCAGCTGCAGATTCTTGTCAACAAACAGAAGTAGGTCGGATGGCGTACGAGAGGCTACCTGCACTACCGAACCGAAACATTCTTGGGGGGGAATAAGGCCACCGTTTCGTCCTCAATTGCTAGGTTCACCGTAGTCTGGCCGAAAATGGTACTGCAGTCCTGAGAATTCAAGCTCGCAACACTGAAACCTGGTGTATTCTCGACGATGATACGTTCGCCTTGTCGTAGACCCTTTCGGGTGCTCCTGTGCGCCCTTTCTGTGTGAGCGTGCCATCGCCACCCTCGAAGAACGAAAGCGAATGCAATCTAACCCTTGCCGAGCCTCCGTATGAATAGGGCTAGCCGCTCTCCGCTGTATACTCTGTAGCCCACAGGGGCGAGCTTCAAGGCGCCATGATGCATGTAGCGTTGCCTTTCCACCATCTAGCGAGACGTCGGAGTATTTGCATATCTAACTTTGGCTGTATGCGGCTCTTGTACCGTTGTTCTGGATCCGACGGCGTCGTTGTTGCGGTTTGTACAATAGGGGAGAGGCCAGTGCGTGATTTTCAAGACGTCGTCTGCGACTGCCTTCGTTGGACAAGAACGAGATCCCCACGAGTACCTGGACTACATCCATTTGGATGTGAGCTACTTGAACCGCCGTACGACGACACTTGTGGTCCACGAAACATTATTGTACATGCCGTGTTTCCCAAATTTTGCTGAGGTGTTCGTTTTACCCGTCGCGCGCCCACAGCAAGACCTCTTTCAATCACAGTACGTCTACGTCTCCGTGAACCTTTCCATTGTATCCTTTGGAACGCACGCTGGTTTGAATGTTGTTGAAACGTTTATGCATATGCCCGCCACACATGATCGAAACGATTTGCCGTACCCAGAGTGCATGGCGGTTCTTGACACCAACGATTTGAAAAACGTATATCCAAGCCTAGAATCAAACGTTGGGTTCCACCCACATAGAGGAGTTACACCACCCCATACAAGACACATATCTCTGTCTGCGGGGGCGAACCAGCGACGAGCGAGGGGTGTGACATTGCCGTGGAGCAAATGAAACATCCTCCCGCTAGTCTCAACAGCTCAACCGGACGAGCGCATGGGGCTGACGGCTACACTGGCTGATGCACGGAAGCAATATGTCGCTCAGGCACATGTAGATAGACATGATCGCCAACGACTCTATCAGGAAACATGGCTTGGGCAAATATTCTCGGAGCCACCGTTCGTACCGCTATCTTGGTTGTGTCACCCCGACAACCGTGTATGCCTTTCGCTGATGAACAGATGTACTGGTACCCGGGCGGCAAATTTGGAAACTCTACGACGTGCGTCGCTGACGGGGTACAGTGGACGGACCACAGGTGAAGATACGTTGATGTTGTGATATTTCCCCGACGTTGGATGTTCCAAACACGGTAGTGTATATCTATCTGGTACAAGTATCATTTTCTGTGGCGGGTTTGCCCTTTACATGAACTGATCACCGGATGGATGTCTTCGTTCACCTGCAGATACCTCAAGGAGTTGTCTCCCTCACGGTGCGGTAGCAGGGTCTAGCAGATCAACATGTTCAGTCGTAACCGCCTCTGTACACTTCTTCACGCATTTTCCGTCCCCCGTTCTGCGGCAGGGAGTGGGTTTATGGCTTCCTGAGCGACCCCGAGGATCCCACAGCGATTTCAACAGGATTTCCGTTGTCCTACAGCTGCATCACGAATACCTCCAACACCCACATCTTTAACACGCTCGTGAGCAAGAATTCCTCAGACCGGTGTCCGGAGAGGAGTAGATGTTGATGTTTGGCGATATTGGAGAAATTTCCAGCTTGAACGTGGGCAGTCGCGACTTACGTCGCTACATTACATTCACCCTACGTAGGGGACAATCGCACCGAACCAACAAAGAACCCACATTTTTTTAATTCCAAACACGCCCTTACCATGTCATTTGAATTGTAAAGCAGTTGCTCATAAAGATCATAAAACAACACATTGGGTTCTTTCGAGGTGTGGCGGTAGTTTTGTCTTTCAGACTTAATAGCCGGCAATGGTCAAGTGTGTGCGAGAGAAGCCATTTTCCCAACAGGTCGGCATAATTCGTCTCACCATGCTGTGTTTTGTGTTCGTGCATCGCGTGCTTGTGCGGCCGGCGTGTCAGGGCATTGGCCTTACCAAGCAGAACAAGTTTATGGAGGATGACCAATCGTCCTACAAGGCGCTGTTTACGAATTTTGGGCATCACAAGAATGTGGTACGTCTGACCTGCAGCTGCAGCACTTTCGAATGTTGTCTCCGTCACTGTCGATTGTTGTTGTTGTTGTTGTTGTTGTTGTTGTTGTTGTTGTTGTTGTTGTTTTGTTTAGTTGCCCTGCAAAACCTCCGGCACTTCTCATTCGTCCGCAATCGTGTTTCCACAATGCAGGTGAACCCAAACATCACAATGCCATATGCGCATCTGTCTCTGGAGATGAAGCAGCAGGCTGACTCTTGGGAGATCATCACAGAGTCCAACCCGTACGAGTTCGTCGAGATGTTTGGAAATATTGGCGGGTTTTGGGGTGAGTGAGACAAAACGAAGCGGTACATGTAGTACAGTCGCGGAATTGTACCACATTCTTCGCCCTGCAGTCATGGCATCCCCGCCCGTGTGCCTAGGAGAACAGACCATCTGCTCTAGCGACTCGCAAAGATTCTTTGTGACGAAGCACTTGACGTGTAACAACCGTTCATGCTTCATGAACGATTGAACCTGTTTCCGACGTTGTCTCGGCCGCCACGCACCCTTTCCGCTCACTCCCACCCCCACAGATCTTCTTCTCATACTGTGGCCCTTGTGCTTCGTCGCGACCACTCAAGAAGATCCCCACCTCAAACCTCGCACCTTCAAGAAGTCAGTCATCAGAGGGGCCGAACGCGCGGCGGGTGTTACCAAGGTGATCGCGCGTGCGGCGCCCATCAGACGCTCCAGCACAAGGAGCCGTGCGGCGGCGGTAGATGGCTTCGAAGATCAAGAAGAAGTGCCCGCGTGGGAGGGACAACCCACGCAACAACAGCAACAGCCCCCGCAGTCAACCAGCCACTGTTGACCTCGTCCCCGTAGTAGGGCGTAATAAGCATTCCACACCCTGGGGCCAAACGCACCCCTCGAAACGTGAAGGGATACGCCAGGGCATCGAAAGCGGGGGAGCTGTGGACGTGGAGGCGAATAGCCCTTGCCGGATAGGGCAAAACATGTTGTCCCCGACCGGTGGTTCCAGAAGTAGCGGGGAAGGGAGTCATGAAAATCTTGACGGTTGTACTCGAAATTGTAAGTTGGGTTGCGTTTCAATACCCCTGTGTCAGAAATGCATTAGCGTTGATCGCACATCAGTGACGTCTTCTTCACGTATCAATGATGCCTTGGCAGCTTCTTCTTGGCCGATTCGTTCTGGTGTACTCCGTAGTTTGTGTTTCCACGAGAGACAGGTTGGGTGTCTGTTGCGCATATGTTCCTTGGTGTGTGATTTTCTGTGTGTTTGCGTCGGTGTGATAGATCCCACAGCCACCTCTAGAGAGAGTTTTTCCTTTCCTTGTTCCGTAGCCCTGTTTCGTTGATGTACGTGGGATGACCATACCTTCCTTCCTTCCTTCCTGCCTGGCTGACACGAAACGACTTTGTTCTTATGAAGGAAAGACATACTGCGAACAAGATCTACCCACTTTTGCCACCAGGGGAGCGCCTTGCGAAGAGAGTAAAATTTCCGCTGGCTTTGAATGTCGACCTTTTGGAGGGGGGCGTACCACATGGTGGGGCATATAGTTTTTTATCTATGGATTCAGTTTTATCTAGGCGGGGCTCCGAATGATTCTGGCTGCAGACGGGGGTAGAGGGTACCGTATGGGGTCCGCAAGGGCAGCATTTGAAGGTAGGACAGCGCGGCGAACCTCAAGTTTGGAGTTTGGAATTAGGCCCCAACGTTTTGAGTGTATCAGGTCATCCTTTCGAGTCGCCCACGGTGACGAGTGCTCGCGGGGTCGTCAACAGAATCTCGATTAGAGTCGAGTAGAGTTTAATGAACAATATATATTTGGTGTATTCTCAGGCATTTGAAATATTGTGTATTCTCATGCAATTGAAATACGTAGTGTACGGTGATGGAATTCGGGACCTTCTATCGAATTGAAAAGGACATCGATTCTACAAAGATCGCGTGATGTTGGTTTCAATGACCGAACAAGAGGATCGACACGTTGTACGGCATTGGTAGGCTGGACAACTTGGGAGTTGGTGTTTGTGTTATTCTTTGTGTCTGCGGGAATTCGTATATCGTAAGTTCCTCGAGAGGTAAGCCAGTCTGAGAAACGAGCGAACGTTCGTTGGTTCTCATAAGTGCTATCATGGATAATACTGTTGTCATTTTCGTTTGGCGGAGGAAAGTGCTCGTTGCTTACTTGCAGTGGACGCAAGCGCGCGCTCGGCGGTCGAGGGGTATAGGCGCACGAAGGAAACATGGCGCTGTACTTCATGTTTACTCTCGACGCGAACGACGTTAGTATCCGAACAAAGACTCAATATTGTTCACGACTTGCAATTCTTTGAAACCGACATCCAAGGGAATCAACGACAGCGCGTGCCGCAAACGATCTCGGTCGACATATGAGCCTCCGTTCATGACGTTGGGTATGTCGGTGGTATGGCACCGGGAACAAATATCACCCCGGCCCAGCGCCGGCCACAACCTTTCAAAGGCGCGTTGAATATCAATTGTCAGGGGGAGCAGGTGGTGGTCCCTAGTATTTAGCTGAATATCAATGGATGATGAGAAGGGGGGCCGCGACTTGTGTTTGCGTGGAATTCTGTACACAACTGGGCGGGCTACGTTTGTCTGCATCCAGGCGAGCACGCCCCGTGCTGGGTTGCTTGTGTGTACATCGAAAGGCAGTATTCTGTGTTGCTGTCTACATCTTCCTAAGAAGTCGGTTTCAACTCAAAATACACACATCTCGCTTCTACAAGAAAAAAAAGGTGCCGCCGTTTACAAACGGATGCAGTCCGTGTTCCCACCCTCCCCCGTTCTCTTGCTGAGATTGTCGCCAGGCATCTCAGACACACCGCCGATCGGTAGGCTTCTCGCCACCTTACCTGTCAAGGCACACTCAACACCGCTATCAAGGCTATGGTACACACGTGCCTGACACGCCAGAATACGCGGAATGTTGTATAGCTCTACGGCAATAAATATTGGGCACTTCTAAACTCAAAGGATGAACGAATCAGACCCCACACCAAGCCAAATTGAGAGAAGTACGTGGGGACGCGAAGCTTCCCACACGTGCCTACTATTCCGGGGGTCCCGTGTCGGGTTTTTGCTGACCACGCACCCTCGCCCGCGCTCGTAGATGTGGATCCAGGAATGCAGGGCGGGAGACGGCGAAGAACCAAATGCATTTTGAAAGAAAACAAGCGTTTTGGTGCCCGGAGAGAGGCGAGGGAGAAGGCCCGCGAGGCTAAGAGCAAGGTGGTACAGCTCAGCGCGGAGATACAGGGCAATTGGGGAGTCAACGGTGTCATGAGGTGTCTTGGAAGTGTTATGAAGTGTCATGAGGTGTCATGAGGTGTTATGGGGTGCCATAAGGTATCATGAGGTGTCTTGAGGTGACAGGAGGTCCCACGGCGTGTCGTAAGGCACCATGACGTGGCATGAAGTGTGATGAGAGGCCATGAGATCCCATGTGGTTTCATGAGGTGCGCACGGGATGTTTGAATCTAAGATGGATGTGAACGAGTTTCGTAACATTTATGCGCATTCGCATGAGGTATTACTTCGTACAACTGCAAAGCGACTGGGCATTGAGTTGGCTGGTGAAATTCATGCGTGTACGGGATGTTCGATGTCGAAGGCATCCAAGGGATCGCTCATGAAACTAAATGCAGATGAGACAAAACGTTGGGCAGAGTTTTTGTCGACCTGGGAGGGCGGAAGGACGTTGCGTCCGTAGGAGGTAAACAATACCTCATGATAGTGAAGGATGATTTCACAAGACGTACATGGATGTATTTCCTGAGAAGTAAATCAGACGCTGCGAGTGCTTTCCGGAGTTTCCTTGCAAGTGTGCGTGCTGATGGTATCCCATCATTGGTTGAGATTGTTAGATCTGACAATGGGGGGGAGTTTTTCGGGGGAGAATTTGCATCCGTGTGCAACGAGCTCTTGATTAAGCAGGAGTTCACCCCGGCATACAGTCCCCAATACAACGGTGTTGCAGAGCGTGGTTTGGGATTGATTGAGGCGGCGGCCATGGTCGCTCGTATTCAGGCAAAAGTTTGTTTAGGCATGTGCAATTACCTAAGACTGATAGACTATGGGCTGAGGCGATGCACTGGGCTTGCGAAGCAATTAACCAACCGCTTGTTCCGCTAACCCCGACAGTAAATCACCGTATGAGATGTGGCATGGTGAAGCTAGTCATGCTAGACCGTATCCGTTTTTGAAACCGGCGTACTGTAGGTGGCAGCGTCCGTCTAAACTGCTACCGAAGGGTGAGGCTTGCTTTTATGTCGGTCCTTCGAGAGACCACCCGCGTGACTGTCATAGAGTACTTACGAGGGCTGGAACTATTCAGGAAACGAGGAATGTGACATGGGAAGCGTTGCCGTCACAACTCCCTCCACCGCAACCGTCTCTCTTGCCGATAGAGGTCGCAGAGCAGGGAGGGCAGGAACGTGACGGCGATGTAGAAGCTGAGGTATGGCCGCTTTTAGGGAGAGGAGTTCCCCACATTCTTTTGCGACGTGATGTAGCGGTCTCTGGTGGAGCAATCGATGAGGGTGGCAATGTTGATGCAGGCAGTGCAGTTCAACCCCCCTCTGACCATATTCGCCCGCGATCAATTCCCCTAGAAGCGCAGCTTCCCCTGTGTCTTCTCCAGCAAACGAGTTCGCCGATGAGGGAGGGCAGGGAGGGCCGGAGACTGGGGAGGCAGAATCGGCGGGCCCCGGAGGGCAGGAGGTAGAGTCGGAGAGTCAGGAAGGGTTGGATGAAGAGTTGGTTGAGCCGGGAGGGCAGGAGGTAGAATCGGAGACACTTCCCCCTGCTACGCACGTAGCATCCAATCGCCGTGGGCGGCATGAGCTTGCTAGTTACAACACTGCTGTGGATGAGAATGTTGAAGTCAGACAAGGCAGAACCCGTGCGCACACTCGGGCAGTAAATCAGCAGAGCGTACCCGGCCTCATGGCCACTCTAGGACCCATCTCTGCATCAGAAATAATACTGGCACTCTTAGTGGAGCAGAGAGCATCTGATGCAATGGAATTGCCGAAAGTGCTAATTCGGATGGAGTCAGAACCGGGTAGCTATCAAGAAGCCCGCCAATCAAAGTATTCCACGATTTGGGACAAGGCCATGTCTGCAGAACTTGAAGGCTTGTTAAGAGCAGGAACGTTCGCGTTAGCAGTAAAGGCTCCAATAGGCTGTAACGTGATAGATGCTAGATGGGTCTACAAATAAATGGAATGCAGATAAAACAGGCAAGATAGTGAAGGCTAAGGCTAGGCTTGTAGCGAAGGGCTTCAAGCAGAAGCATGGTGTGGATTATCTTGAGCCTTTCTCGCCTAAATTTACTGTGAAATGCTGCATCGATTCGTTTGTTGGTAGCATTGGCGTGCAAGCACAACTTGGAATTGCTCCACTTTTGAGCAAGCGTTTGTTCAGTCGGAATTGGATCACGAGGTGTTCATGAAGTTGCCTCCTGGCTGCGAGTCGATGTCAGGAAAGGTCGTCCGTGTAGACAAGAGTTTGTATGGACTGAGGCAGGCATGCAGAACATTCCACAAGAGACTTGTGTCGGACCTGAAGAGGATCGGTGTCGAACATTCTCTATCTGACCCCTGCGTTCTGCATTTCATAATGGGAAACGAGGTGATGGGTATGATCGCGATTCATGTGGATGACATTATCTATGGAGGAATTGAGAGGCTTGGCAAGATAGTTGTGCAAGCGCTAGGTGACTCTTTTCCTACGAAGAATTTGGAGGGGTCAAGTTATTTCTTGGTTGCGCATTTATTCGCGACCGTGAGGCTGGCATGATAAAAGATATCTCAAGAGAGTTACATCACAAGTGTTCTCGAGAGATTCAATATTTGCTGCACCAGCTCGATCCCTGCTTCCCCTGTTAGTGATTACAGGTCCGTGATGGAGGATGAGGCGGCAGGGGATGTGCCGTTCCGAGAGGTGGTGGGGAGCCTGATGTGGATCGCCAACCAGACAAGGCCCGACATCTCAAATGCTGTGCGGGCGGTGGCGAGGCATTCTCACGAGCCAAAGAAAAGCCACTGGAAGGCGGCGTAGAAGATTCTGAATTATCTTCTGGAGACAGCACATCTAACTTTGAAGTACAAGCAGGACACTATGGTAGATGTAGGCACGTTGGTGTACGTAGACGCAGACTTTGCCATTAAGGTCACTGACCATAGATCAGTTTCGGGAGCACTAGTTCTTGTAGCTGACTGTCTTGTTGCTTGGATTTCTAGGACGCAGAAATGTGTCACACTTTCAACAACTGAAGCAGAGTATGTTGCGATGGATGACGGTGTAAAAGAGGCTCTGTTTGTCAACGGAATGCTCGAGTTCTTGAGGCCTAGTGATCGAATTGGTAAGATTCAGGAACGGGAGGACAACGAGGGTGCGATTGCACTTGCTGAGAATCCACTTAGTTCGTGAAACAGGAAGCACATTGACGTGAGGCACCACTTTCTTAGGAATTTGACTGAGGAGGGAGTGTTGGAAACCAGACATGTTTCTAGCGAAGGACAGCATGCGGACATCCTGACGAAGGCTCTGCCGAGAGATCTTTTGGAAGTTCATCGTAATTTTGCTTTAGACTCGAGATCTGAGAAGTAGAGGTCTGAGTTGTGATTTGATTTTTCGTTTTTTGTTTTTCTGACATATATTTGGTCTGGTCGAGACAACAGCGGTGTTCGTGATAGTTGCTGCTGTGTGTCGGCAGAGTATCGTAGAACACTGACAGGCTGACAGGACAGTTCAAATGACGGGACTGTCGTTTTGTAGGAATGTTCCTGGAATGTTCTCGCTCCTTGTGCCGCTCGATCCAAACCACTGTTGTTTTTCACTACAATTTTGCCCACGATGGGCGGCCCCAAAGTGCTCATCATCATCATCATCATGGGCTGCCCACTGCCCACACGGTGGGCCGCCCAGGGCCGCCATCGTGGGCACAATCGAGCGAAATTGAGGCTCACGACGAGCATAGCGACGCGGTCATACATGCATACTCGGATATACCCTGTGTGTGGCGCGCACGGGTCGAAATTCGCTTTCGTCTTGGTGGTATGCGTATGCAAGGGAAGAAGTGACGAAGGTTAAGAATCCAAGGTCACGGGCGGAGGAACGGTTCTAGAGTTCCAGACAAGAGAGAACTCCGAGTAGACTTACTTTTTAGGACAGCCTCAGAAAAACAGCCGAAGAGAGTTACAGAACAAGGGGAGAAGGGAGAATGAGGGTGCATGGGAAGGGAATCACCTACGCGGGGTCAGGAAGGCCGTGCGTTTTTCTTCGTTTGAACCGTGGTGGGCCGTGTGTTTCCTTGGTTCGCCTCATGAAGATCGAAGATCGGATCGGGTCATCAACGTAACTTTTTTGTTCCATCTCTACTGTAGTTCTGGCGGGGAAACCGACGCCCTTTCTTTTTTTCGCTGACGTCACCACAACAACAAACAACCATCCATCGTCTCTCCACACACCGTTCCCACCGGGGCATCAGGAAGGAAGCAACAGCCGCCTACATTACCTTCTCTTTTAGGTCGTCAACGAGGGAGGGGCGAGAATGTGGTGAGTGTCTGTGTCCGCGTGGCCGTGTCTCGCGTCTCGCGTGGCGTGTGCCATCAGGCTCGCGGCTCGCGGCTACTGGCGCCATGATGTTTGCGGCGGGCGTATGCTATAGTACGCAGCTCTCAGGGTATGCATAGGTGGCGACAGAAGAAGTGACTCCCAGCAGGCATACTATTGGTATTCGTAGAGGCAAGGGCTCATGGGCCTCTCACCTCGGCATCGCTGGTACGGCAGTTTCCACTGAACATGTGCCGAGCAGCAGTGCGTGTGCCGGCCCTTGGGGATAGAAAAAAGAAAGTTGTCCCTCCTTCGGGCGGCCGTTTTTTTCGGCCCCAGGCGGTTTCCCGGTTTCCCAGGCGGTTTCCCCGGCGGTTTTTCCCCGCCTGAATGTGCTTCGACCAGAGGCACCTACACGTTCAGAAGACGCATAGGTGTAGCTAAAGCTAGCCGTGTAGTTATTTAGATTGTCACCGGTGTCGTTTCTACAGACGGCGACGTATAGACTATGTACTTTTGGACGGGGCATCGACGCGAGATCACTACAATTACTACTTCACGTTTGACAGAGAAGGAAGCGGAGAAAAAAACAGCGTACTCTGCTGTGGCACAGCAGTACTGCTGTGAAGTCTTCAAGTATGTGCGAATCCGGCTTGTGCGCCCAGACTATATAAGTTTAAAGTACACAGCTACAAGAAGATAAGACACATGTAGCTTGTGTACTGTAGGTCTGCACGAAAAACTCTTGGTCGAAAACGTGCACCAAACCACGAATGTGATGCATGCGCGTTTCGTTCGTGGCCAGCTTTCGCCACCACGGCCTACTACGGTAGTAGTACCACGGCCTCGGGCGGGATAGGGAGTGGTCAGGGGTGGGATTGTTTGCTGTTTTTGGCGGTTTGACGATCTGCAAAACATGTTCGATTTGTACCAAATGCTGAACCTCTCCTGTAGACTAGACTACTCTACGTTGTATTTTTGCAAAGGTATGCTACTGTAGGCAAATACATGATTCACCGGCACCTCTGGACGAAAAGAAAAGAGCGTCTGCTGCGGTGCCGTTGACTTCCCCACCTTAGCTGCGCGGCTCCCTCGAGCCACCAACCTGTACTTTATAGATACCGAAGACCAAAGGTAGCCCCCGGAAAGGTGCGGGCGCATCCGTGCCACTCCATGTGCAGTTACATCATCAGTTACATGTCGAGTTTTCCAGGCGATGTTCGCAGTTCGCAGCGAGGTCGTAACCATGTACCATGTACACATGGCGCCCGCGGCGGGAACAACACAAGCTGGGTCGGCACATCATCACCTGTGCCCAGCACGACTTCCCTTCTGCCGCTGATGAGCTGTTGTACTGATGTTTTGGTTTTTTTCACGGACCGCAGGAAGCCGGGCGAGGTGCTTGAATCGCACAGGCGTCGGGCGGTGGTGGTTTGGACTGGGTCGGTGGTCGCCATCTTCGCATGTGAGTGCACGACACAACTTACTCGAGAGGGCCAAAACCGCATACCGTAGCATACCATAGATGAACACAAACACTCACGGTTGCGAGCACTGAGCATATTGAATCGAGAGTAGGAACCCTCGCTGGAGGACTTCATATGTAGAATAGACCACAACAGTATTAACACCATGGAGATCTCCGGCACTACATACAGTATCAACCTGAATGATTCCGGAGGCCTTCATTAGTGATACCACGACGTCGACCATCATGGCGTTCGCATCGCCTGGTGTACCGCAATCTACAGAAGAAAACACACCTCGGTGATAACATTTTGGGCTTTAAACATATGACCACTGGGTGTGGCATCATGTGGGGGGTGTGGTATCTTATGTAGCCCGGGGGATGTGGTAAAAACCCGGGGATGTGATGGCACGTCCAGTGTGTGTCGGGGGTGTGATAATGAGGGGTGTGCTAACAAAGGCTTGGCTGGTGCGTGTTGACTCGTCTGCGGTGCTCGCATGTGGTGTTTCGAGTGAGTCAGCAACTGGCTGCGGGTGAGGCGATGCGCTGGCTGTCATGTTGGCGCCTGGAGGAACCGTAGCAGCAGCCGCTTGTGTAGAAGAAGGTTGCTCGGGTTGAAAAACCGAGGTGGTCTGTCGCGCCTGCACTGCTGCGGTCGAAGCGGTTGTCGAAGACGCGGAGGCTCTTGCAGCGGCATTCTGCTCTCCCTCCGTGTTAATGTTCTTGGAGGTCTCCATGCGGTGTGCTTCCCCCGCGCACAGAGCGGATGTGTTGTGTGTGATGCCCACGGGGCAGATGCTGTATCTCCCCGGTGATGGAAGAAGGATTCCCGTGAATGTATCCGGTGTTATCACCGGGGTGTGTTATATTTTGTGGCTCGAGTGATAGTTAGCTGGTTCGTAAGAAACGCCCAAAAATATCACCAGGCCGGGATGTGGTTTTCTGTGGGGGGTTTGGTTTCTTTTGTGGGTGTGGTATCTTCCCCAGTTTACGGTTCTTTGCTGCGAATTTTGTGAAGAATTTTCGATGTTAGATATCTTTCCTCCCCCACGACAAGGTCATTTGAGCAAGACGATTTCGCGTGATGGGTAACCAAGCGATTGTGCCTTGTGGCGACGTTTTATTTTTCCGAAACCACCTGTAGTGCACTAATTAGTACCAGTTTCTTGATGGAATCACATTACACCACAACCCTCCAAATGGGTTCGCCTGTGTCCTCTTGCCAGACTCCGGCTGGCTGTGCTACAAAGCAGCGGAGAAGGCAAAGGCACCCGACACGTCTTTCGTATTGACGGTGAGGCGTGTGTCCCTGTCTTTCAACCTGGACTACTGTCTTCCATGTCGGAAGCAATCGCCTACCTGGTGCCGTGCCTATCTAGAAAATCCGCATTTTTGCGACCGTTGCGTCACCAACGTTGTCAGATCTTGTTACCGGAAATGGTAGCTGGCGATAGATGGATACCGGGAGTCAAATGAGGACTATTTCTTACGAAGAGACAGAAACTGGTGGTGGGTGATTAATACTGCCACCGCGCTCTCTTCGGTGGTTGGGCAAAATGGATGTAGGTGGTGGTTCAAGCGGGTGCGCATAGCAATACTGAGAAGACAGAATACTGCAACCCATGGACTAGATCTGCATCGGAAGCCCAAAGCTTCACCACGCCGGTAAATCCCCAGGGCTTGTGCACGGCGGCCGAAGCTCGTCTGCTGACGAGCGTAGGCGACGCGAAGCACGCCGGGCTGACCCGATATATTTAATGGCGGTTTATTTCTGTACCTTGTTGGATGTTCAGAACGTCGTATACAAGTACCCCGATCTCTGGATTTGCCCGTACGTGAACTACGGCTGTGACGCCTGGGAACTCGAGGAGGAGTGCGTGGATTCTGCGTGGATGACCGAAGGGGGCGAACCGGACGCGGTGTTCTACCCCAGGGAAAAATTGGACCAGCTCCACCAAGTAACGACCGAGGAGCGAAAAATCGCTGCTATCCCAGATTTGACCAATTTTGACAGCGAAGGGAACTTCGTGGAAGATGTGAGCCTTGAAATCTCCCTTCTTTCCTGAATATTTTTGTTTTTCTTGCTGCAGTTTCGTTTTCCCATGGAAGACTTGCGTTGCTGCCTTGGAATGTACGGTGGTGTTGTCCTTGCGCAATTCACGTGAAATAACGATGAAACCAAACCCAGGTACGGGGTACGGGTGGGTGAAATACCTCATGCCATGTCGAACGATGCACCCTGCACAGACCCCATAACCGATATCTTCACAGCTGGAAGGGTGTCAGTGTGGAAAATGTCTCGTCAACAGCTTCCGGAACAACATCGTTCAGTGTTCGCACCCTCCTTATTGCCGACGGAGCAATCGAGGTCGATACCAGTCTGCCGACAAGAGTTGGTACTTCGCTATAGTTTCTTCGTCGGCAAACACATATAGATCGAGTCCTTACAGTACGAGAGGCTACCCCCGCTACCTTACCGAAACATGTTTTGGTGGCACGTAATGAAACCACCGGTTTTGTCCTTAATTGTTTGGATTCACGGTCTTGTAGTCGCTCATTAACCCGAGGATGATCGGGACTTTCGTTCCAAGAATACAAGCTCGAAACATCGAGAGCTTGTGTATTCTCGACCGTGATACGTTCCCCTTTGTTGCAAAGCCTGTCGCTTTGGTTCCTGTGTGCCTCATCCATGGGAGCTTTGCATCGCCATCCGCAAAAAAGAAATACAATGTCCAATCTAACCTTGCTGTAGCTACCTAGTGCTCTCCGCTCTCCGCCCTTCGTTAAAGCCTGCAGGGGTAAGCTTCAAGGAGCCGCCATGGCATGTAGCATTGCCTATCAAACATCTTGGGAACGCGCGTGGATCAACTCTGCGCATCTGCGTCACTAAATTTCTCTCGACTCTACGCGAATCTTCCCCGGCTCTTTCGGGTTCGATCGCGTCGATGTGTGGTTCATAGGGGAGAGGCCACTGCGTGATTTTCGAGACGTCGGCTGCGACTGACTTCGTTGGACAAGAACGGGATTCCCACGAGTACCTGGATTACATCCATTTAGACGTAAGTTACTTGAACTCCCGAAAGACAGCACTTTCGTCCACGAAACACTATGGTGCACATTCGTTCTTCCGAATTGATGTCCAGGTGTCCGGTTTTGCCCGTCGCGCGCCCACAGCAATACCTCTGTCAGTCGCAGTAATACGGCCACGTTTCTGCCGACTTGTCCTTTTTATCCTGTCGTGAACTGCCACGCACGCTGGGCACGGCGAGTTACTTTGGTTTCCGACACGAACGCATTGAATATTCATGCCTAAAACCAAAGTTTCTGTTCCACACACGTAGAGAAGTTACACCACCCCGTACAATTCAGTGACACACAACTGTTTGCTGGGGCGAATACAGTACCGGCCGAGTGGACGTGGAATTCCCTTGGGGAAAAATGTAAGAACCCCTCCGATAGTCTCAACAACTCACTCGCATTGAGAGCATGGGCCTGGCTGTTTTGTAGAGGCTGATACATGAAAGCAAAATATCGCCTGGAACCAGTACGAATGGTCGCCAACGGCTCTCTGACGACACATGCGATGGGAAAAATACTTGTAGCCACCGTAATGATAGCCCGGTTGTGTCACCCCCAACAACCGTGCCCGCCTTTCGCTGAACAGATGTACTGGTACCCCGGCGGCAAATTTGGAAACTCCACGACGTGCGTCGCTGAAGGGGTAGAGTGGGCGGACCACAGGTGAAGACATGTTGTTGTTGTTGTTGTTGTTGTCATTGTGTTTTTTTCACACATTGGATTTTCCATATCAATCTGGAACCAGCACCCTCGTTCTGTGCCGGATCTGCCATTATTGTCAGCTGGTTGTGAGGGATGTCTTTCTCTTCCTTTACAGGGAGATGAGCCTTAGCGGGGTGTATCCATCACGTGCGTTTGCATGGCCGAACAGATCAACATTTTCAGTCTTGACCCGCCTCTGTCCACTACTTCACCGCATTTTCCGCCCCCCGTCTTGCGGCAGGGAGTGGGTTTATGGCTTCCTGAGCGACCCCGAGGACTCGACAGCGATTTCAACAGGATTTCCGTTGTCCTACAGCTGCATCACGAATACCTCCAACACCCATATCTTTAACACGCTCGTGAGCAAGAATACGTAAAACTATTATTGGCCAGGGCGGAGAAGGTCTTCATGTTTGGCGGTGTGCGGGAAGTTTTCAGCGTGTGTAATGGTAGGCGCGACTTACGTCTCCACATTACATTCACTTTTCTTGGGAAGCCATCACACCGGAGCAACATAGACTCCCTTGTTTTTCAATCCAAACATGCCTTCACGATCACCACTGAAGAGGCAAAAGCAACTTCCCGCATGACGAATCTGGAAACGCTTTTGATTGTTTTGAGGTCGGGCGTCATTGTTGAACTGAGTAGCCGGAAGCGGTCTGTATGTGCAAGAGAGACGCTGTTTTCGCAACAAGTCGTCTTTGTTTGTCTCACCGTGTGTGATTGTTTCGCGTCCTGGTGTTGCATTCTTGTCAGGGCATTGGGCTTACCAACCAGAACAAGTTCATGGAGGATGACATTTCATCGTACAAGGCGCTATTTACGAATTTCGGGGTTCACAAGAATACGGTACGTCTGGACTGCAGTTGCAGGTTGTTCATAAGTTGTTGGTGCTGTTGTTATTGTCGTTGTCGTTGTTGTTGTTGTTGTTGTTGTTTTTGTTTAGTTGTCCTGCACTTCTTATTTGTCCGCAATCGTGCTTCAATTATGCAGGTGAACCCAAACGTCACCATGCCATACGCCCACCTGTCTCTGGAGATGAAACAGCAGGCTGACTCTTGGGAGATCATCACAGAGTCTAACCCGTACGAGTTCGCCGAGATGTTCGGTAATATTGGCGGGTTTTGGGGTGAGTGAGACAAAGTAACCTGCATATGTTAGGGTCGCGGGATTGTCGCGAACGCTTCACCTTCTTAGTGATTGCATCCCCATCCGTATGCCTAGTCGAACAGACACTGTGCTATTTTGTGGTGATCAGGTGAAACGTGTAACGGCGGCTGATGGAACGATTGAACCTGTTGTCGACTTTGCCTCGGCCGCCGCACACTCCTTCCACTCGCCCCCACCCCCACAGATCTTCTTCTCATACTGTGGCCCTTATGCTTCGTCACGGCCACTCAACAAGATCCCCACCTCAAGCCTCGCACCTTCAAGAAGTCAGTCATCAGGGGGGCCGAACGCGCGGCGGGTGTTACCAAAGTGATCGCGCGTGCGGCACCTGTAAGACACTCCAACGCAATGCCGGGGGTAGATGGCTTCGAAGACCAAGAAGAAGTGCCCGCGTGGGAGGGACAACCTGTGCAGCGACAACAGCCCCCCCAGTCAGCCACCAACTGGCAGGAAGCGCACCGCTGTTGACCTCGTCCCCGGGGTAGGGCGTAATAATACTCTCACGTCTTGAGGCCGAAAGCACCTCACGAAAGGTATTCACATCAAGACATCGAAAGTGGGGAGTTGCAGATGACTTGATCGCTGCTTGTTGGCCGATCGCCCTGGTGTAGTTTATCGTTCAACCAGAAACGGTCTGGGTAATTTTTTCGCTGGTGTTCCTCGTGTGACGTTTGCTTGTTGTTCCCGTCGGTACGATCGATCTCACAGCCACACCTTCACTTTTCCCTCCCGTTGTTTCCTGCCCTGTTCCCTTGATCACGCGGGATATTGGCCACACCGTCCTTCTGCCTGGTTGACACGAAACGACCTTGTTCTTGTGATGGAAGACAAACCACGAACAACATTGACCCACTGTCACCACCAGGGGAACGCCTTGCGAAGAGCAGGCAACAGCTTCGGCGCGTGGCGTGCTGAGGTTAGAAAGTATTTATGTTGGCTCTATATCTCGACTTATTGGAGGGCGGCGTGCCGCATGGTGTTTATACATATGGAATCAATTTTGCGGAACGACGCGCCGGGAAAACGTTGGCTGCATGTTTTGAGTGTACAATATCAGGGTATTCGCACGGCCTCAAGTCGAAATGTGATGAAGTACGAATCGTGATGAAGTAAACTGAGAGTTATGTTTTGGGTATTTTCACGCAATAGGGTGAAATACGGTACTTCCAACCGAACCGAAGAGCCCCCTGTTTACTCCAAGATCGTATGGTTTTGGTTTCAATGGCCGACGTCGAAAAGAGAATCGACTTATGTGATTCTTGTCTTGGTGGTGTGGTGCTGCAGAATTTTTACATGAGAAATGAGCAAAAGCTTTTGGTTCTTGCTTTTGCTGTCTTGGAGACTACTCTTTCATGTTCGTTAGATGTTGTTCATATCTGTGCTTCTAGTAATGGTACACACCGTATTTGCCTTTGCATGGCTTCTGTTGTGTAGTACTCCTCGATCTCGTCCTTAGACGAGGTGATGGTTTTGGTTTCAATGGCCGACGTCAAAAAGAGGATCGACTTATGTGGTTCTTGTCTTGGTGTGGTGCTGCGGAATTTTTACATGAGAAATGAGTAAACGCTTTTGGTTCTTGCTTTTGCTGTCTTGGAGGCTACTCTTTCATGTTCGTTTGATGTTGTTCATATCTGTGCTTCTAGTAATGGTGCACAACGTATTTGCCTTTGCATGGCTTCTGTTGTGTAGTACTCCTCGATCTCGTCCTTAGACGAGGTGATGCATTTTGTACTCCCAGCAAGAGGTGTTGTAATATGTTGTGTTTGAAAGCGCCGATGAATCCAATCTATGCAGGGCCCGGTCGTTTCCTCGGCGATCTGCCAGCCTGCATTGTTGCCCTAACCTACTCTGGGGCAAACCTGTGATGCGACGTCGAGTTAGGGAAAAGGGCAGAACGTCCCCGAAAAAAAATGAGTTGACCGACTGCAGGCACGGTTCCAAATAGCTGTTGAGAGCGCTCGTTGCTTGCTTCCACTGCAAGAGCGCCGCTGGCAATCAGGGGTCACAAAGACAAGTTCCTATGCTTCCCGTGTACTCTCGACACGGGCGACGGGCGTAACCGGGATTTGTTAATCTTGCAATATCAGAAGCGAATGGTAACTCTTTGGAGCCTGCATCCATGGAAAGTCAACGGCAACGCTCTAAGTCTACACTCCTCGATCGTCATCCTGTAGTGTTTGGACATTGGGCATGGCGGTACCATCCCGGCCCAGCGGTGGCCACAAACTCCCAAAGGCACGTTCATTCGTATTTGTCAGGGGGGGCAGGTGGCCGACCCAAAGTTATTGCTGACCTGATGAATGGAAGATGAGAAGGGCAACCGCAACTGTAGTTTCTGGTGATTCGGCGCACAACTGTAATTGTGCGGGTTGACGTGTGTGTGTTCAGGGGGCTATGCCCCATGCTGCGCTGTTTGTGTCTACATCGACAGGCTGAGATGTTGTGTCGCCCATCACTCAACACCGCAGGGCGACCAGATTCAGAACCGATGCAGTCTACTCGTCTGATTCCCCAACTCCCGTTCTCATGTTGAGAGTATTGCCAGGTTCCAGACACACGGCCGATCGGTAGCCTCCTCGCCTGTATGCCACCTGGCCGAAAGCGGGCAGGTCAAATTTCGACACCCTTTGTTTTGTTGTTGTTTCTCACTGTCATCCACAACACCGACCCAGCACAAATTATGCTCAGGCTTCAGTAGAAAAGCCTCCCCCAAACACGTGGGGAAACTGTTCATACTGAAGCCAAGTCAGCATTTTTTTCCATACCAAACACTACCAAGCGAAGTATAGTTTTCGTTAGCCTCTCGACGTTTGGGAGACACTTTTCATACGTAAGCCAAGTCAGCAAATTTTATGAGTACCAGGCGATGTACAATTTTCGTTACCCTCTCGAGTCGAAACATAGGTCGAAACATCAATGGGGCTCGTCACATGCCAAAGTACGCTCTACGCCGCTAGGAGCCTACGGTGCACTCGGGACTAGTCGGGGCGGTGTACGGCTACTTGGGGCATACTCAACGTATTCGTTTAGGTCAACACAAACTCCCAAACAGGCGGCCACTACGGAGAGGGAGGACGTGGGTGTGTCGCGATGTAGGTGACGGACCGCATAAGAGCAACTACCAGCGGCCTTCCTACATTTGGCACGCTACGGCTGTTGGCGGCGGGACTCGTTGCAAGGGGCTCGGCGGGGTCTGCTGCAACGATCATGAGCAGAATCACCCGAAGAAGACCAAGTATAGGTCCAGACCAAGCGTTATAGGGGGTGATACGTTCTTCAACGCGCCACCTTCACGAAGGGGCTTGGAAAACCATCCATCAACCGTCGCACGGCACTGGAGGTGGCAGGTTTCCTCTGACAAATACAGCTAATTTCGACGAAAACAATTCAGACGGTTTCAAAAATAGAACTAACGGGACTGTGAAACGTGGTCCAACGAGAGTGGCGGAAACAGGCCGAATCGCACATAGTTAGAGCGTGATCACAGCTGGGCTGCTGAGGGCCCGTGGCGCCGTCTGCTCCAGCGTCATCATGGCGGACCCACAAGGTAAGGAGTCGACCATGGTACCCAGATAGACCCTTCCTGAAGTTTTGGTGCCATGTGGGTGGCTGTGAGTAGAGTTAGCACCACACGATTTTTGCATGCCGACCACGCTGGCTGCACCCGTTTTAGGGCTTACCATAGAGGCCACATTTCGGGCTTGCCACTTAGCAGACAGCACCGACACCCTAAGAGTATTTGATGCCAACCGCTGTCCCATGCTGGAGCGAGGAATCGTCTGCGCGATTGCTGGCAATCACGTATAACCTCGAGTTGAGACCAAAATGTCGATTTTTGGTCTAAAAACCGGCCCGCGGCATGACCAGGGCCAGGTACGCATCAACTCCCTCGAACGGCGAGTGCAGGCTGCCGATCAATGCGGGTTTTTGCCACAGAGTATTGCAGTTGTATGCCCAACCAATTCCGAAGGCAGCGGCGAATTTGGTTGTAAACAGCAGTTGCCCAGTACATTTTGGTAAAATTGAGGATGTTTTTGAGACAGCCTTATCCCCCCGCCCCGCTGAAAGTACCCTGCCTTCAGGCAGAGCAGGCTCCATGGGAGCAGAACCTGGCCAAAAGTGTCCCGAGAGTGAAAGATAGCTGGGGTGGAGAGCTTTGAAATGAAGTACTACTGTCGCGTCCGACTAGGGTGCGCAGACGTTTAAGTTTTGATACCGTAAACCTAGAAATGACCCAACACCGCATCTTCCTTGGCGCGCAGGCACAGCAGGAAGCGACGCAACCGCTTTCCCTGCAGTCGCCACTGGTCCAGACATCGTGACCCTGTTGTGCACCCAACCAGTGCATTGCTGTTGGCGCCATCAGGAAGAAGTAGAGACGGCTCTGGGTCTAGAAAAAAACGCTATTAGCGTTTTTTATCAGGGGCTAGGGGGGAGGGGTAGTGGGGCGACCAAGGGGAAAAGGATACAAGACCAACTGGAGAAGGCCGGTGTTTTCCGCAGCCAGGGGGACACCAAGCCGCACAGGGTTTGGTGGTTGGCTTTTAGGGGGAAGGACGCGACACGACCCAGGTTTGAGGACAGAGGAGAAGATAACTTGTGCGTGCCGGCTGGGAGCGGTGCTGAAGAACACCGTGGGACCCCTAGAGATACCAACCCGGCCGTTGGCGCGACGACAGCACAGGAGGGGGGGGGGAGTAGTACAGTAACGCCAGACGAACAAGAGGAACAAGAGCTTCCGGAGAAAAAGAAACGGAGGTATGTTCTACGTTCAATTTTATTATGGTGCCTCTGTGGGGTTACCAGTGGGCGGTCGTCGTGCTCTGATGACTACAAGGCACTGCTGTGTAGGCCAATTACGCACTACCATGTACTCGTCACGTGCCTTGATGTTCTGCTGTTGACTACTCCTTTGCGACTACCATTGTATTGCCGAGCACTATGCTGAGGGTGTTGGCTCATGCCACCTGGATATCCCGCATGCGTCGCCGCGACGCTGTCTATTTCCGTTGCTCATGTTGCCGCGGTCATTTTTTCTCTTGTTTCTGCTTCACGCGGGGTGGCGTGGGTTCGGAGCGACGCGATGCACGCGATGGTGTCCACTCCAACATGGGGGTACTTCTTGAACTTGTTCGAGTTGTCAAGACTCCTAGATCTGCCAGCGGATGATCTTCGCGCCGTGCTGCAGCCTCCATGTGCCCGAAATTCTACGATCGAGCATGAACTGTTCCTCTCGACGTTCGGCATTTCCCGGGGGTGGCATGCCGGGAATCCCGCCTGGCATTTGCTGGGATGTGGGCACGTCGTCGCGCTAGGGGAAGATGCGTGCATGGAACTCCTGAGCAGGCCACCCCAGCCCTTTTTTTGGTGAGTTGGTAGTCCGTCAGTGTCGATGGATGCATTTTACAAGTCCAAGTCAGCCCTCTATAGGGTTCTAAACGCTGTGCTTCCACGTACTGCTTGTAATGCTGCTCTGTTGGTGATATTTACTCGGCTTACCATCCCATCCCATCAGTTCAACCACCCACCCACCACACCCACTCCACACCAACCCCTGTATGCCTTTCCTCAATC